AACTCTGCACAAGACGTGATGCATGAGTGGATGGGTTGTCATGATAAAGCTGCCCACAGCTGTGGCCTTCTGAATCATCCAAATAGTTTCCTTGGAGGAACGTTCAAGCTTAATGCAAAATTTGATGCAGATTCATTGCTCTACTTGCTCAATCATTTTGAATGTGACAGCCACTCAGTACACATGCTCACTCAGTAGCGTCTACCACCTCCCACTGACTAGTCCAATGAAGTCGTCATTTTTCATGCAAGCACATTACAGTCCACCCTCCTTGGGTGCCAGGTTACATGATGTTGCCAAGCTGTTTTTGTTATATTAACAATAGTTGGACTTTTTCCAGACAGACCTTGTATATTCAGAAGTGCAATTACTGGATCATATAGTAATTCTATTTTTAATTTTTTGAGGAACCACCATACTGTTTTCAATAGCAGTTGCACCATTTCCTTCCAGCAGTGCATAGGGCTCCACTTTCTGTATATCCTTGACAACGCTTCTTTTTTTCTATTCTATTCTTTCTTTTAAAAAGTAGTAGCCATCGTTAGTGGGTGTGAGGTGGTAACTCATTGTGATTTTAATTTGCATTTATTTCCCTAATTAGTCATGTTGGTTATCTTTTCATTTACTCGTTGGCCATCTGTATATCTCTGGAGGAATATTTAGTAAAGTCCTTTGTCAATTTTTGAATTGGGTTGTTTAGTTTTTTGTTGTTGAGTTGTAGGAGATTTTTATATATTCTAGATGTTATCAGATACATGATTTGCAAATATTCTCCCATTCTGTAGGTTGCTTTTTCACTGCATTGACTGTGTCATTGATGCACAGAATGCCTTGGTGATTTTTTTGAAAACTCAATTATCAAATTACATGGCTCAGAACTTAAATTTTAGATTCTTGGCATTGTATACAATCTGGCTTCTAACTAACTCTCTGGATATATATCTATATGTCCATATATACACACAGGGTAGGGCACAAGTAAATTTACAGTTGTGAGTACATGAAAGAGTTTATTCTTATATTGTTAATTATTGTATTATTTTTCATATGAACAACTGTAAACCTTCTTTTCCCATGTATAAGTAAATAATCTGTATTATACATATACATATTATATATTATATATACATTATATATATTATACATATATACACACACAACATATACACCCTTTCCCATTTTCCTACCTAGGAGTTTAAACTGTAGCCATGCAAAAATATTTGCAGTTCAGCAAGTATCAAGATTCATCTTATTCTCTTCTAGATGTCTTCGACATTCACCTAGAAAAGGTTTATTCCAAAGGCATCTCAGACATTTCTTATGAAACCTTTTATAATCACCCTGTTTTTCACTGGGCAGAATGGAATCAAACATGGAACTGTGTGCTCTTCTCTCGTAATAGCAACTGAAACATTTCAGTTTGCCTGTTTGTTTGTCTGTTTTGCTTTATTGGACTGACAGTTCTCTGTGAACAGCCTTTGTGGTTGGTCATTTTGTCTTTAGCTGTAGCTCTTGGTATGTGGTATTAAATGAAATACTTAATAAATGTTTGTTAAGTGAACGTATGATTGGTGAGTGAATGAATAAGTGAATTAACGCAAAGTCAACCTTATTGGATCTCCAGAGTTACACAGCAATGGACTCTGCTTCTGGCTGCGTTGGAAACCATTTCCAAAGTAGCTTCTGGGAGAAAGTAGCTCCCATTTTCTAGCTCCTGCTGGTGGTCCCATTCTCTCCCTCTAACTCCCGGCCATTTTGTGGCAGATCTTTGTTACTGCAGACTCTTTATTATGGGTTATAGTACCATACTATATATGGTATACAGTAAAAATACATACCATATATAAAAAATTAAATTGCTTTTTAGACTGATGACAACTGTACCCCAGGAAGGTTATTTCTGATTCGAACGTCTTTTGAAAACACTGTAAGGGTGTTGGTCAGATGGAATTGCTCATGTTACACCAGATATGTTTGATATCATCGTCGTTATTGGGAGTAAACCAAAGAGCCTGGGAAATCATCCTTTGGTTGGCATTTAAAACCAAAACAAAACAGAAACTGGTATCTTTCCCCCTCTTCCATTATGCCTGTAGCCCTTGTTATGAATTCTGGTAATAAATGACTTCATTGAAGTCTCGTAGTTTATGATGTCCTCTGGCAGGAAAATCTTGAAAATATTTCACTGTTATAGCAAATTTTGCCCTAAGCCATATTTCAAAGAGTCATTAGTAAAAGTTCTGGAAAAAGAACAGTCACCATCAAGTGATATGCTACCAAAAGATGGATTGCTACTATTTTAGATGATTTAGTTGTGCCAATTATATGGGCTTTTTATGAGTTATGCCCTACATGATTTCCAGTAAAACTTTGATTTTAAATGTAAACAACATTTATTTAAACATTTAATTTACTTCTAATATAAATACTGAGTTGTTCTGTGTTCTTGTAAGTTTTTTCTTTAAATGTCAGAAATTGTCTATATATAGGCACATTCTGCATTGAATTCAGTGAAATAATTTTCATCCCTCCTTTCGGTGACAGTGTTTCTGTTTCCTGACTAATGAAAAGTAATTAGTTATGAAATGAGACACACACTATAATAGAGTCTCCTGTAAGCGAAACATTTGAACTGTTGTCCTTTTTCTTGCAAGAATACTTTGCGCTTATGCATGAGATTTTACTGCTTACAAATATTGTCTATTGCACATGGAGTAGTGACTTAAAAAATTTAATATAGGGGCAGCCCAGACTTGACTTGTTCATCTTTTAAGTTATTTTGGAATTTGTGTCGGAATATTGGTATCTCTGAAATAGGTATGTGCAGCACCTTCCAAAACATAGTAAACCATACCATAACCTCCTCGTCTTGAAATAAACTGCAAACCCTCCAGCAGTTCCTCAGGTTATGGTGAGGGAAGTGTTTTTCTTCAGTGCCTCCTGGCTCCCAGTGGCCTTCTTCACTGACCTGGAATGGTGGTGGACCACAGTAACTTCTGAGATGCAAATGTTTCCCTGTACTTGCAGCTTTAAATCTGCTTTTAATCTGGGGTATGGCCGTTTGGTCTTCAGAGGTTTTCAGTTTTTGAAAATCTTCACTTCTCCCCCGACGCTCACTCACCAGGCTCACCTGCTGGATAGCACCTGCTCTTCTTTGTGGACATAACGTTCATGTTTGAAGGTAAATTAAAAATTACAAACTAATGTGATCTGTAAGGTAGACATGGGGCCATTCATTCATTCCAAAAATGTTTGTGTGTGTCCGCTGTATACCAGCTGTTTTGTGGCCTGGAGATCCAGAATGATAGTATATACATAGTTTTTGAGAAGTGCCTGTTTTGCAGTTTGATTAGGGAGTGGTGGGGAAGGAGACAGGACAAAAATTACACTGTGTTGTGATAAGTTCTATGTTAGAGACAAGGAGAAGTTGCCATAGGAGCTTAGAGAGGCCCATTTAACCCCGAGGTGGAGACAGGCGAAGTGCTTGCGGGAGCAGGTCACATCCGCACTGAGCCTGGAAGGCAGAGCAGGAGTCGGCCAGCCCAAGGCGGGAGGAGCCCAGACGGAGACTAAGATGATGCAACGGGAGAGGTAGGAGGTGAGCTTCAGAGGACATGGTGGCCGTCATTTATGGAGCACCTACTTTGTGCCAAGCTCTGTTTTAGGAGCAGGCGCCATTATCCTCAGCTTGCAAACGAGGACACCGAGAGCCCCAACTCTCCTGAGGCTGTGATGGGGTTAGTGAGAGGAGAGCTAGATTTCAAAACCCTGCTCCCTCACCAGGCAGAGCGGGTAGCTGAGTGGTTTTTTCATGCTGTTGAAAGGTCGGGTGCGCAGGTCCAGTTCTGAAGTGTCCAGGGGCATTTTATAGTGGCTTGTTTATTCATTTCAGAAATACTTACTGAGAGTCTCTCTAAGTGCCAGAAACTGTGCTAGGCCTTCAGAATCAAGTGACAAGTGCCAAGGTGGTGGAGGTAGAAGGGTAAAAGAGAGTAGAGATACTGAGTGAAAAATCTAGGGCAAAGAAGCTTGATTGCAAAGAAACCAGTGATACAGCAGTGAATGTAGTGCGTGTGTGTGTGTGTGTGTGTGTGTGTGTGTGTGTGTGTCCTATAAGGACTTTAATTGTTATGTGCTGAGGAGAAAGAGCCGTAGTAGGGGAAAGATTTAATATAAACTAGAAAGAATTGGTGATTGATTTGATTCATCAGGAATCCTAAAGAATGAGGAGTGATAGGGACCAAAGTATGTTAGATTGCACATATTTAATTAAGTAGATTGCAAGACAATACTAACATGAATTTGTAATGGCCATAGAATTTTAATATGATTACCCTGCTCTTGACTAACCAAAATTTTTTATTCAGATGATCACCCTGACCTCATGTTTGTTTTTTGCCATCCATCTTTTACCTCTCAGTCACTCTGTCCGTACCCCTCCCTGTCACAGCAGTGTTATCCTGGATCAGTCATTGATGTTGCCCCTTAGACCGCATGCTTTTGGGAAGGGGGCGGGATGAGGAGGAGAGGCCCAAGTCATCAGTGACTCAGTTCCTTATTTGTACCACATTTGAACACCAGACTGTTTTTGATTTTAAAATTTTATAGGTTAAAAGGTAATATATACCCTGTGCAGATTTTGTTTTCTATTATAAATTAAGTACAAAAGTACTTTAAGATATGCCCAAGTACCAATGAAAAGAGGACTTTAAATATGTTGGGTACTGACAAGGCCTTCTGGTTTTATACAGTCTAAAGAAATTTTTATCTTTTTAGAGACCAAAGATAAATTCATTACCAGCTCAAAATGACCAATTGTAATCTATCTAGTTGTGCAAAAATAAGATATCCTCACATTTTTGGTTTCCTGATTTTTAAAGCTTTGTGTTAAAATGTCAATGATGCAATTTTTAAAAATTATCTTTCCCGTGAACGTGGTATGTAGTTCCCCTCAAATATGTTATATTACTCACCAATATCACGGAATTTTCCTTTTTCAGAATCCTGTCCAAAAGATTCCTGACTCGCATGAGATAACGCTAAAGCATGGGACTAAAACAGTAAGTTTAAAAAGTGTGATTCTTTTCTCCCAGTAACAGGGCTCTTACGGAAAAGTCAACTAATAAGCTAACATTTGTATTAAGGCTAATTACACAATCAACTGATAACACAAATGATATAGACATTAAGGAAAGATTATTTTTCCATTCAGTCAAAATAGCCATTGGGTTTCATTTAAAATAGGAACAATTAGTATTGTTATTGTTGGCTTTAAAGCCACTTTTTCTTTGCTATAAGAACCTTACAAATGAAAGAAAGAAGTGAAATTCAAGTACAGTTTTCTTTTCTTTGGTGTGGGAAAATGTCTCATTACTCTTAGCTGTATTTCTATATTAGTAAAAGGCTTGAGTTCATTATTTAGATGAATGTTGAGATAAGAATTGAACATGAAATAGTCACTGTATTGCTCTAAGATTACATTACTTAGATGTGTAGATTATATTTTTATATTTATTTTAAAGATCAATAATTTTTTGAGATACAAGGTGAAATTCCATCTTATTGCTAAACCGTTAAAAAGTGGTAGTCGAATGAATGAAATCTGTGAATAAATGAAAAATAAAATTAGCTTGCCTTTCTTTTACAATTAAGCTACCTTTTTCTAGTTGTCTGACGTATAAAGATGTAAAAAAAATGTTCCATAATGAATATGAAAACATCAATCAATAGAAATAGACCCAGAAATGACACAAATAATAGAACTAATACACAAGGAAGTTAACAATAACATTCTGACTGTTTTGTTTTTGAAAATATGGTTTTCATAAAAATATTTATGTTTAAATGTTACTTTAAATGAGGTGAACAATAATATTTTTAAGTGCCTTATTTTTAATTTCTACTGTGATAAATATTGATACATATAACTCACATAAACAAATGCTTTTTGCAATCTTCAGTGGATTTTAAGAGGATAAAGTGTCTGAGAACTGTTGCCTTCAGAAAGTATTTCCATCTAATTGTTGCTATTATAGCTACATTTTTATTAAGTCAGACTTCTGATACTTTTATTCTAAAATTGTGACAGTATTTTACTCATAATCATATATTTTTGTATAAGGAAAGTAATTGTAGACTGATAGTACTGAAAAGGAAGCATTCCTATTTTTAGTTTCTATTGTTCCTATTCCTGTTGTTCAGTTTCTACAACTCAGATTTTGTGTTTTATTTGTTTTATTTAAATATTTCTATTTTTTCAAATCAAATTTTATCTTTTATTTTATCCTCACCAGAGAACATTTTTTTCCCATTGTTTTTAGAGAGGGAGGTGGGGAGTGGGGGGGGAGAGAGAGAGAGAGAGAGAAAGTAACCTCAGTGTGTGAGTGAAACATTGATCAGTTGCCTTTTTGACTGGGGATCGCCTGGTAATCGAACGGGGGATCAAACCCATGATTCTTTTGCCAGACTGGTGTGGCTCAGTAGTTTGGAGCATTGTCCCCATAACTGAAAGGCTGCGAGTTCTATTCCGAGTTGGGGCACATGCCTAGGTTTAGGTTGTGGGTTTGATCCCTGGTATGTACAGTCCTCGGTATGGGTGCGTACGGGAGGCAGCTAATTAATGCTTCTCTGTCATATTGATGTCTCTCTCTCTCCCTTCCTCCCTCTCTAAAAGCAATGAATAAAATTTCCTCAGAGGTGGATAAAAACAAAACAAAACAAAACATAAAAAACCCATGACCCTGAGGTCCACAAGACGACGCTCCAACTAACTGAGCCACACTGACGAGGGAAAGTTTTATATTTTAAAGAAATATTTAAAAATACTAAAGTTATTTTACACATTAAAAATCAATTAGAGCTTCTAATTGTACAGTAAGGTTAACTATTTTCTTTTTATAGTCCTGCCTTTGCCCTGCATGTATTTCAACTTCTTGGAAATCTATCAGCTGTTAGGAAAGTGACTCTCTTGTCTGTTTTTTTTCCCTAGGAGTAATTGTAAAAACACTTATACACTCACAGAAGTGTAGAGAATACTGAAACAAATCCCCACATTACTTGTCTCTGAGCCTTACCGACTATGTATATAAGTCCAGTCTTGTTTCCTGTATACTTTGCATTTCTAGTAAACCTCCACCGCCCGCACCTCCATATATCTACATTGTGAGATTTTATGAAAGTGAACTCCAGACTTCATATGATTTTATCTGTAAATATTTCAGTATGAGTCTCTAAGAGAAGAGGTTAGTCTTTCTCTCCCTCTCCATCCCTCCCTTTCCTTCTTTCTCATAATCAGAACATCTTTATTACATTTAAGTTTTTACAATAATTATTTAATATCCTCTAATCCCATTAGTGTTCAAAGTTCTCCAGTTGTCCCATACACATTTTTATAGTTAGTATATTCAAATCAATATTCAAATGATGCCTGACTCACTGTTAGTAGAGCTATCATTGTTTGTTACGTTTCTTAGTCTATAACAGCTCTTCCGTTCTCTATGTTCCTCCTTGCCATTGAAAAAATATATCTGTTTGATGAGTATACTTACTACAACCAAATATGTTTTACTATGTGATAGTCAACTGAACATTTCCAAGTGAGCGAGATAATATAGTGTGCTTTGATTTTACTGATTTTTGTTTGTTACATGAAATAGAAATTGTTAGATACTGTTACAGTTTTGAATGCTACTTTTTCACTTTCACTTTTCTAGATCAAAATGAACAGTGTGTCAACATTGGAAAGTTGTCTTTAAAAAAGTCAACAGACTATTACTGTTTACAAATGTTTATCTGTGTATATTAACATATTCTCAATCGTAGGGTCCAAATAGCATCAATAACTTACCAGATGCTAGACTTATATGTATGCAAGTGCTGCTGTCTTGTGCTGCTCCAGCTGTAAATTTGTATGGAGTCCCCTTCTACCTCATAGGCGTTTGCTTTGCGATGGGTCATAACTTTGTTCCTTTAAACAACATAGTTCCCAGGAAGCCTGGTCCAGTGGAAACAGCCCTTTCCAAGGAATCTGCTTCCAACTTCCATGTTTTTTAGGCTCTACATTGTTTCTAAATAACAAATCATACCCATTAGTCTTTTCATTAATATAGTAACATAATGGCAATTCTGTTTCTCAACCAATGAATTTACATCTCAGACAAAGAGAACATTTTTTAGCTGAAGAGCAGCTTCTTCCTAGGTTTCGCTTTTGAGGATGTTCTTCCCAGTTTACACCAAACTCCAGATGACTCCAGGAAGTTGGTCACTGCAGCTTCCAGGTGACCCTTCCGTCTTCCCCAGGAGGACGCAGTGAGGGTGCCTGCAGCTAGTCGTCACTCCCCCTACCCTGGCTCCAGGCCTCCACCCACGTGGCTCTGTGCCGTGGTCGTAGGGGTGGACTGGAACCTATTCTTGAGGGGAGGACAGGCATAGATTGAGAAGCCACAAATGGATTCACAATTTCCAAATGCATTGTACTGAGATGAACATTGGGTGGGGTTAACCGGTTAGGAGGAGGGACATATCTTTAGTTTTAGCAGGAGGGAAGGCTGGAGTGGGCATGTGGACGAGTAAGTATGTAGTTGGTGGTAGCAGAAGTCACTTCTTAGGTTTTAAAGCTACTATTTATTTTTATTTTGATTGTTTTAAGTTTCAAGATGTGTTGTTCAGACATAAAAAATGACTTAGTTCTCATTTGTATATTTTCTTTAACATATTTAGAATACATATCTAATTTAAACATGTCATTAATTTACATTATAATTTCCTTATACAATTGACCCTTGAACAATGTGGGTGGGATTAGGGGTGCTGACACCACACAGTTAGAATTCATGTATAACTTTTTTGAAAAAGAGGTTTTAGAGAGAGGGGAAGGAAGGGAGAAAAAGAGGGGGAGAAGCACCAATGTGAGAGAAAACGTTGATTGGCTGCCTCTCTCACGTGTCCCGCCCGGCAACCGAACCTGCAACCAGTCATGATTCAAACCAGAGACCGTTCACTTCGCGGGGTGATGCCCAGCCAACTGAGCCCCACCAGTCAGGGCACGTGTATAATTTTTGCCTCCCTAAAAACTTAACTACTAATAGCCTACTGTTGACCAAAAGCCTTACAGATAATATAAATAGTCAATTAACACATATTTTGTATGTTATGTATATTATATACTGTATTACAGTGAAATAAACTAGACAAAAGAAAATGTCATAAAGAAAATTATAGGGAAAACACATTTACAGTACTGTACTGTATTTATTGATACTGTAAGTTTATGTTGTCTGTTTACAAGATGAAAAAAATCTGTACGTAAGTGGATCCATGTAGTTCCAGACTGTGTTGTTCAAGGCTCCACTGTATTTTGAAATGAGTATTTGCAGGTAGTAGTTGAATGAGTATTCATTATTTTGTCAATATCTGGTTTAAATTACAGTAATTCTATTGCATTTAATTATATTTCAAGTGAATTTATTAGAACTGATTTAGAGTAACTTCCTTTATATAAAACTTTGATCCTTTTACTGTCTCAAATATATGTGGTGACCACATTAAGTATTCCTACTGTAGCTCTTTCCTCCTGAGAGGGCTGCAGACCCAGGACTTCCTGCTCTGAGAAAATGTTAAATGTAGCTCAAAGACAGTGACTTACTCACTGGATATTCACATGTGAATTGGACCTAGGAAAGTTCACAGGAAAAGAAAGTATTTTATGGAACCAATATAGTGCTATTTTTCAGGGGGTATTTTAAGTTCTGGGCTTTATTTTAATAATTTAGTGGTAGAAGCTAATGAGTAGTTTATAATAGTCAAACCTTTTTAAAGCTAGCTTTATAGTTATACAGTGACACATGTTTATAAAATGATGCAAAATAAAGATGTTCAAATATGAGAGCAAAATTAACTTGTTGAAAAGTTTTATAATCTATTGTTAATGTTAGGTAAATTTCATAAAAATAACTACTTAAGGTGACTGGGCTGGGTCTTCTTGTCATATGCACAAGATAATTTCTTATTTGTCCAACTTCGTTAAATAGATTTCTTGAAGTTCCCATTGGCATTACTCATTTTGGTAATTTTATATTCATTCATGTGTTCTTCAATAGTGGTAAACTATCTTGAGAGTTTTCCTCAAAATTGTTTATTGAGAGAGCTGAATTGTTCATGAGATTTCTACTAACATACTAAAGCAGCTTAGCTTATCTTATGGAATTGCAAAGAAAGCTCTTCTGGGCACATGGTAGATAAGCTGGGACAGAGAAATTAAAGATATTTTTAATTAGAGAAATTAAAATAGTTTTCTTTTTATTATTTGAAAAGAAATTACACTCGTGATACCAAAATCAAATAACATAGAAGGTGCTGTCCATTCTCACTTTTCAGAGGTAACAACAGTTATTGGTCAGTACTTCCAGTGCCTTTAGTACAGGAGGTGGGGGGAGAGGAAGGAAATGGGGGTTATAACAAACTATAAGTAGCTTTTCTCCAGTGACTTTTTTTTTTTTAACCAGGTTTCTGCTTTGGGTCTGGATCCCTCAGGTGCCCGCTTGGTGACTGGAGGATATGACTATGATGTTAAGTTTTGGGATTTTGCTGGAATGGATGCCTCTTTTAAGGCATTTCGGTCCCTTCAGCCCTGCGAATGGTATGTATCATTCAACTTAATACCTTTGCATTTGAAAACAGGGTGCTGTTGTCCTTTGAATTCCATCTATAATGGTTTGTCCCAAAACACAAACCTTTATTATTCAAACGAAAGTAAAATGAACCTTAATTTTTTTGTTTAGTTTCATCAACCTATGTTTGAAGACATTTTCTGTCTTTTGTTGTTTTTAGAAATAGATTTTTATTTAGAAATTGTTACCTTGTCTAATTTATTTTAAAACACTCCAACAACCACAGTACAATATTATGTGTGTGTATGACATACGTTAAGCCATACCCAGGTGCTGGTCAGTGCTGCATGGTGCAGGCACGGCCAGCTAGCATTGTATCAGAAAAGGCTTCACATGTTGCTCCTTCAGGTGACATCCTCTTGTTTCTGTTTTTGATCATGTTTGATCTTTTAACATATTGGATACAAAAAAAAGGATTTTTATTGGTCAAACTGGAGTTTAGTTAGTTAACTTGCATAACGTGTGGAGGAATTGGGCTCTTTTTGAGGACAGTTAGAGGCGGTGAAGATTAAACGGATTAGCTGAGATTATTTAAAACCCCTTGCCTACCCTTGCAAGAGTGGGGTGTAAGAATCTAGTTTTGCTTTTTAGTTTTAACTGTTAAGGGTGATGTTTTTTGTTAAACTTACTGTCTACCTGTTAACTCCGGAGTCCGTCAGCTAATGGAGAAAGTTTCTGTCCTTCGACTGTCGGGTGTTTGCTTCCAGCGCTGATGGAAGTGGTGGCTGGAGCATCTCGAGGGCTAGAGAGCTGAGATTTTTCTTAAGCCTGCACAACAGGTCCTATCAATTGTTTTTGCCTGCCTGCTGACAAGCGCGTCGATGACAAGTGTCTGTATGTACTGTAGATCAGAACTGGGTCTGAGACCTCAGGTTTCCTGGCAGCTCCTCTTATCTAGCAGAATAACCGTTTTGACTAAAGTGGCTCTGGTCAGTGTTCTAACAAATCATAGTGACTTGTAAATTTTGCCACCATAACTCCTAAGCACTCTAGAAAAGACTTGAGATTTCCCTAAATGAACGCAGCAGATCTAGGATCAATTGGAAATGGAAAAACAAAATAGAAAATGACTAGTATCTCCCGTGATGTCTGGATTTAAAATAGCTCTTGTGATTTAAAATAATATGTTATCTTGAGTTAGTATGATGACCTTTTAAAAATGTACTTAACATATGTTGTTAATCCCTTTTCCCACAAGATAGCCTCTTGATTCATATGGGGATTGTGCTGTCCGTCCAAAAACCGTCAGCCGACGTGTTCGGAACTATCCAGCGCTGTCAGCGCTGACAGAGCTAATGGCCGTCTCTGAATGGATTGTGTCTCATCGGTCTCAGGCCGGTGCCCTATTACTAAACTCTGCCATTCCCTGCACTCTTATAATTGCAAATGCAGAAAAGCCCAAGAGTAAGCTTATTTTTCTTCCATAATTGTTGCATCCTATATATAATAGTGAGCTATCAAATGTTAGATGGGAAGAAAGAATTCTGACAATTAATATAAACTCTAACACTGTAAATATTACATGAGCTTTATTCTTTTAAAGCATGAGAACTGTTTAACTTTGCTATAATTTGCCTCTAATCTCCAAACAATGCAACCACTTTTTATGACAGTGGTTTTTTAATCAACATGTACTTTGTATCTGTCTATATATTCATCTGTAATTTACTTTTTTACTGTGAAAAATTTCAAACATAGAGAAAACAGAGGGATTAGTTTAATAACCATCTACCCTCTGCCTTGACTTAATAGTTATAAACATTTTTCTGTATTTGTTTCACTCATTTTGTAATTTTTGAAGTATTTAAAAGTAAAGACAGATATGACTTTTACTTTGAAGTACTTTAGTTTTTACCTTTTCAAAAATACATTTTTGTAATAGTACAGATATGTGCAAAAAAATGAAACTAGACCACTAGCTTACACCACACACAAGAATAAACTCAAAATGGATTAAAGACTTAAATGTAAGACTCAAAACCATAAAAATCCTAGAAGAAAACATACATGGTAAAATCTTGAATATTTCTTCTACCAATATTTTTTCTAATATATCTCCTTGGGCAAGGGAAACAAAAAGTAAATAAATAAATAAAGGGTGCTATAGCAAACTAAAAAGTCTTTGAATAACAAAGGAAACCGTCAACAAAATGAAAAGACAGCCCACTGACTGGGAGAACATATTTGTTAGATCTGCTAAGTGGTTAATATCCAAAATTTATAAAGAACTTATACAACTCAACACTGAAAATACAAACAATCCAATTGAAAAAAATGGGCAAAGGAGCTGAATAGACACTTCTCCAAAGAGGACATACAGATGGCCAATAAATATATGAAAAAATGCTCAACGTCATTAATCATCAGAGAAATGAAATCTAAAACCACAATGAAATATCACTTCATACCTGTCAGATGGCTACCATCAATAAATCAACAAACAAGTGCTGGCAAGGATGTGGAGAAAAGGGATCTGTCATGCACCGTTGGTGGGAATGCAGACTGGTGCAGCCACTATGGCAAACAGTATGGAGTTTCCTCAAAAAATTAAAAATGGAGCTGCCTATTACCCAGCGATTCCACCTCTGGGAATATATCTAAAGGTACCTGAAAAACCAATTTGAAAAACTATATGCAGCCCTATGTTCACGGTAGCGCTACTTACAATAGGCTGGATTTAGAAGCAGCCCAAGTGTCAATGAGTAGATGAGTGGATAAAAAAGTCATTATACATTTACACGATGGAGTACGACTCAGTTCTAAAAAAAGAAGGAAGTCTTACCTTTTGCGACAGCATGGATTGACCTGGAGAGCACCACGCTAAGTGACATATGCCAGTCAGAGAAGGGCAAGAACCATTTGGTTGGTCTCCTATGTGGAATCTAATGAACAAGATAAACAAACAAAATAGAAATTGACATACAGATACAAAAAACAAATTGACAGATGTCAGAGATGAGGGGGATTGAGGAGCTGGGTGAAATAGATGAAGGGCTTAAGCAAAAATACCCCAAAACTCATAGACACAGACAGCAGCATGGTGATTACCAGGGGGAAAGGGAGGGAGCGAGAAGGAGAGGGTAAAGGGGTGATAAATGGTGACGGAAAGAGACTTGACTGTGGGTGACGCACACGCCATGTAACATACAGATGAAGTATAATGTTACAGAACTGTGCACTTGAAACCTATATAACTGTGTGAACCAATGTCACCCCAGTAAACTCAATAAAAATTTCTTAAGAAAAATAAAGCTATAGACATTTTCGTATATAAACATAGTTTCATTATTGTTTCTAACAAAAGTCTGTAGAATTTCTTAATAGTCCAATAACCATTCCATGTGTAAATTTCCTCATTTGCCCTTAAAATGTGTTTTAATGCTGGTTTGTCAAGCATGTAGCTAATCAAGTAAGGCACATCACATGTATGTTGAACCTTTCTTACATATCTTTTCATCTAGAACCGCGTCTCCTTCCTGCCGTTTCTTCCCCATGGCTTTGTTAAACAGACAGGTCCAGTTGTTCTCTATAAACTTCTTCCTGATTTTCCAATTGCTTCCTTACGGTATCATTTAGCTGTTTCTTTATCTCTGGTATTGCTTGTAGAAGATGCAGAGGCTTGATTATCATCCATATTCTATCGTATCAGGTGGTATGTATTGTCTAGTTGTTGTCACCATCAGTGACTAGCAATTGAGGTTGATTTTAGAATTATGCTGCTGACATCTGCTTCCTCTGTGGTAAGGTTGGTACTATATACTTGAGATAGGCAGGGACTTCGTGGGGAGACACTTTGGTACAAAGTAAATATCCAGATTCTTGTCATCCTTTCACTTAATCAGTTTAGTGTCCATTGATTATTTGTGCCTAAATCAGTTATTTCAGTGAGGGTTGCAGGTTGGTGATTTTCTAATCCTGTTATTTCATCTATGCTTGTTTGCTGGTATTTTTCTAAAAGAACTTTTTCTCATTAACCAGTATGATCTGGTTATCCTGAAATACAGTTTGTATGGGAGAAGCAGGGTGAATGCCTAGTTATTTCCCTTGAATTACCCATTTTCAGCTTAAGGGCTAATGGTGACAAATGAGTTGCTGTTATTGGTGGTGATGGCTTTTTTTTTTCCTTTTTCTTTTTTGAGTATCAGTATTTCTGATTTAAAAATTTTCATGTGTTTCAGTCAATTGCAGTCATTTTTCTTTTAGATGTTCAAATTGTCCCCAATTTGGCCAGTGGGAGTCTCTGATTGCTGTGTCGTTTCGACATGACCTCATTAGTCTTTAAAAGTTTAGTTATTTTTTGGCATTACATGATGTAGGCTTCCCCGTACATTGCTTTCCAAGTCCTGGAGTCAGGATGTGCTATGGAGAGCTCTCGCTCCTGCTCTCTCGCGCGCTCTCTCTCTCTCTCTTTTGTGGAAATGGTATTTGACCAACTATGGATGTTAACACATGCTCTTTGGTATTGGGGTATTATAGTTTCTTGGCCTTTTCCATGTAAAGAGTTGGAAAACACAAATACATATGTGGGCATTGCATGTGTATTTAAATGACAAGATCATGTTGATATTTACATTTCAAAATTTCAGTAAAGTTTTAATTTCAGAATATTTTTTAATTTATGGAAAGCTTCAAAGATAGTCCAGAATTCAGGTATACCCCCAACCCAGTTTCTTCCTTTGTTAACACTTTATATTATCATGGTACATTACTGTTGGTACATTTCTATTAAATAAACTTAATTTGGATTTCACATTTAAAATAAAAAAGGATTTTATTTATGTTTAGAGCAAGGGGAAGGGAGGGAGAAAGTGAGGGAGAGAAACACCGATGTGAGAGAGAAGCATTGACTGGTTGCCCCTCACACACACCTGACTGGGGACCTGGCCCGCAACCCAGGCTGCGCCCCGACCAGGAATCAACGGGGTCACCCTGAGCTTTGTGGGCAAAGCCCAGCCAGTGGAGCCACACC